GGGGGGAGGGGAAACCCTGCCAAATAATAATCCCCAAATTAATTGGTGACCTCATTAATTTTGTAGGGTTTCCTTGTATGTGTATGTGTGCCTTCAAGTCACTTCTCATGGTGACCTCATAAATGTTCATAGCATTTCCTTAGGCAAGGAATACTCTGCAGTGGTTTTGCCCATTCCTTCCTCTGGAATACAGCCTCCAGCACCTGATATTCCTTGGCGATCTGCCATCCAAGTACTAACCAGAGCTAGCCCTGCTTAGCCTCCAAAATCAGATGGGATCTGGTGCACTTAGGGCATCCAGGGTTTTTTTAGGCAAGAAATACTCAGAAGTGTATTGCTATTAATTTTGTCTGAAATATCATCTCCAACACTTGGCATTGTGAATAAAACTGTCTATGTCTTCTTCTTGCAGTGCATCCGTTATGGCAAAGTCCGATCACCATTCCAGGGGGCAGTCGGCAATCTCCGATCAATATCCAGTGGAGAGACAGTGTTTACGACCCTCACCTGAAACCCCTTGAAATACGCTATGATCCAGCCACTTGCCTCCACATGTGGAACAACGGATATTCATTCCTGGTTGAGTTTGAGGACTCTACAGACAAATCAAGTAAGAACAGCTAAAATAACTTGTGTTGTGATTTCTTGCAGACACACCTGAGTCCTTTTGCATTTTGCTGTGCAAATGCTGAGCTTAGAAACTCATGGTATCTCAGAGAACTGATTCCTCTGTCATAAAATGCCAGCAATTCTGTGTAGCATGAATGATACCTTTTGCATTACGCTGTATATAAACACTTGAAGGGGTTTATCTACATATTTTGTAAAAATAAAACAGTAACAGTTGACCTGTTAGCTTGCAAGGAAGAGTATGATGTTATGGATAACACAAGTGCTGAATTTGGAAATCCACACATTCAAGTCCCTGATTTTTCAGCAAACTGTTGATATTTGGTATATTGGAATGGAATGGGGGTGACCCTTCCACATTTCCCTCACCATTTCCCTGTCATTTTCAGGAAGGAATGACTCTTGCACATGAGTAAATTTTGTTCTTTACGTTCTCGAATGAAAAGTATAACTCCATCATTAAATGTTGCTTATCACTTCGGCTGTGTTAACAGATAAGCTTTTGAATAATGTTCTTGAAAACACCTAGAAGGCAAGATAAGCTTTCACTTTTTAGCTAAGCATTTTCTGCTCTTGTTCTTTTTGGAGTTAATTAAACCTAATGGGAATCAAATGCAACTGAATCCATAGTATTGTAACAGCTCTCTTTGAAATAAAACCTATTCTCTAGATAAAGGTTTAAATTTAAAGGTTCTTCAGTGCAACCGTTGGTTAAAGTTGCTCTGGAGGACCTAGATATTCCTAGAGAGAACATATTAATAAAATCCATGAATAATCAAATCCGCAAAAGTCAAAGCCGCAAATGTGGAGGGATGAGTGTATTTGTGGAACATCTAGTACCACTAGTAATTTGTAAGCAGCACAGCTTTTTACTTGAGTCCAGTTAGCTGAGTGACCACTGGTCTCCACATTCAGGCATGTGAGTTTCTCAATCAGGCTTCTCATTTGTTAAAAATGGAGAGAAAAATACTGAGAAAGGTTGACAGTTCATTCAACAGAAATAAATGGTCTTGCTTCATAGAGGCAGCCTCTCTGAGCAACCTGATGTTGCTCAATTTCCCTGTCATCCTATACCTTTGTACATTGTTCTTCAGTATCTGCTAAGAGAAATGGCACAGTGGGCTATTGTTAACAAGTCCCATCCGATGATTATCACAACTGGCTGACTTCAAGCGCAGTCTGTCCCTCCGGTTCCTCTGCATTCTCTGTCCATACGCTCTCTGGCTCAAGTTTCTAAGACTAAAATGGGGATAACTTTGCTCTGAAAATTTTCAGTTACTTACATGGTTTCTTTGTGGGTTTCATCTTTTGGATACTGCCAGTCTTTATGCTTGTTCTGAAATCATTTCCAGTCCATGGCACTATTATAAACAATTTAATATTGTGGTGACTAACAACCCTCTTCTCCTTTTAATTATTTAGATATATTCATTTGTTATATGAAGTTGTGTTACATCCAAAGGTGCATCTAACCTGTAGAAATATTGCAATTTGACACAACTTTAACTGCCATGACTCCATCCTAAAGAATCCTGGGATTTTTAGTTTATTGAGGCACAAACATTCTTTGGCAAAGAAGGCTCAAGACCTTGTAAAACTACAAATCCCTTGGTTCCATAGGATGGGGCGACAACACTTAAAGTGGTGTCAAACTGCATTATTTCAACCCTGTAGATGCACCCCAAGTTGTATGACATTCTTTTAGAATTAGAAGTAAAAGCTGGAAATTAACAAATGCTTCTTGTTTTCTTATGTCCTTTCACTTTGTGTTTTTCTGAGTCCTTAATGCCTAATTTACTCTTCTTTCTCATTTGCCTCTGGTACTCCCTTCTTCCTTTGTTTTCTCTCTCCCTGCTTCTACATTTGGCAAAAATAGAAACGGATACAGATAGAAAAGAGGGGGAAAATCAAGAATGGCTTAAAACAAAAAGTTAAAGAAGAACAATGCAGGAAGCTTGAATAGAGGACTATGAGATTTATAAGATGCAGAAATGCTGCATTCAACACAAGATCCAAATCAGATTCATGCCAAAGGTGAGGCCAGTTTTGCTGTGGGATATAGCATGAAAGTACTATAAAGCAAAATAGAAAGTGAGAAATCAAGATCCTGGACAGATAACAATGATGGTCATGTTGCATGTAAATGGTTGCCATCTACTGGTTGATATTATGCTTATAGTGTTGTTATAATCTTAGGGTGCATCTAGACCAGGGGTAGGCAACCTTTCCCCTTTAAGGGCCGAGGGACTTCAGCTCCCAGAATCCCAGGAGCTATTGGCCAACATGTCAGAGGCTTCTGGGAGCTGAAGTCCCTCGGCCCTTAAAGGGGAAAGGTTGCCTACCCCTGATCTAGACTGTAGAAATAATGCAGTTTAACACCACTAACTGCCATGGCTCTATCCTACAGAATCTGGGGATTTGTAGTTTTGTGAGGCACCAGCACTCTTTGGTATTTTTCTCTTAGGTCAATCAATACTTTTTTTGTGAACTGAGAGAGTGTGTTACAGAAGAAGCTAAATTCTAAATCCTGTCTCTTTTTAATTAAAAGTTTAGAAAGTAGACATCGTCTTTGGCAAAAACCCTGGTTACATTATGGCTGCACATGCGCCTTTCTGGTCATTGCAGAAGGAGGAATCCAGTACCTTCTTTGTAGTAGTGACTCTCTTGTCTGCACAACCAATCTCCCTACTACTTGGACACCATTTTCCCAGCCATTTAGCAGCAGGATTTGGACAGGACCAGCAAGGCAAAAGCCAGGTGTGTTTCTGGAGTTACTCATGAAAAAGAAGGCATTCTCCTGGACTTTGCTGGGGTACTGCAAAGATCTGGCACAACATGTTGTTGTTTTCTTGAACCCAGCTTCAGAAACACAGCCAAATGGCCTCCTGTTCATTTTCCTGTAACCACTGAATGGGCATTGAAGAGCTTCCTGGTGACAAAAAGGTTAGTTGCACATGTAGGGAGAGGAGGGTGGAGCAGATCTACATCTAGCGAAGCTTTATCCTCTGCCAAATTAATGTCAGAGCTCAGCCGTCATCTCTATTTGCAATCAGCCGAACATTAAGCTATCATATTATTTATTTATTTAGAACACACACTTTAATAAAAACATACATTAATTCATATTAATGTATCTAAGACAGATTAAATATTTGTAAAAATAGTACATTAAATATAATAACAACCACATAGCCATAAGTGAACTAGTGAAAATAGCAAAATTCAAAAACCTAGGCACTTTTGCAGTAGCTGATATCTTAGAGCCCTGGGGCAAAATGAAATAAAATGAAATGATCAAAGGAGACTCAAGAGAGTAGGCTGATAAAAGCTGTATCATAGGATGTATTGACTCTTTTCACTCCCCTTGATAATAACATCAAGGAAAGGAAACATACAAAATTGACTCTACTTTCATAGGCTAGCATAATGGAATTAGGAGAGGGGCAAAACTTGGGAGAATTCTGCCTTAACATGCATATATGTATGCATGTTTGTTTGAATAACAGTCTCAGTTGTTAGTCAGACACAAAGGAAAGTAATTCTGTATAAGAATTAAGAAATGAGAGCCAGCATGGTGTAGTAGTTTGAGCACGGGACTTGAAGACCAGGGTTCGAATATCTGCTCAGCCATGGAAACCCACTGAGTGGCCTTAGGCAAGTAGCAGTCTCTCAGCCTCAGAGGAAAGCAAAAAGAAACTCCCTCTAAATAAATATTGCCAAGAAAACCCCATGATAGGGTGGCCTTAGGGTTGCTATAAGTTGGAAAGGACTTGAAGGCATACAACAGCAACAAAATTAAGAAATGCTTTGTGTGTGTGTATGTACCTACCACTCACCTACTGGCATATGGTGACCCCCATACATTTCACTGGATTTTCTTAAGAAATACTCACAGGTGTTTCTACCAGTTCTTTTCTTTGAAATGCATTCTGACCTTTTAAACAATGATATGCACACATTCATTAGGAGCACAAGTACCTTTTCATCACAAGATGGCAGTCGTGTGCAGCCTTTTTCTCTGCTGTGTTTTTTTTTTTTTTCCCTTTCCCTGAAAATACTTAA